CAAGCATAAAGGTGTGGCAGGAGACGACTCTGGAAGTAATGAGGCTCTAATCAAGTCTGAGACCTCCAGACGCCAGCCCACCGTGGTGACGGACAGTCTACAGAAAGGCCTCGCGGCTCCAACGCGTCTGGCTGTCAGGGCCACTTCCGGGGTTCGCACCAGCGGCTGCCCAGGCTGTGAGAGCGTGTCCGTCCCAGAAAGCCGCCTCGGGGAAGCGGAATCAGCGCTTGCTTCAGAGTGCTCCCGCCAAGCCGGATCGTCCCTTCCCCACGCCTGCTTCCTGGAGCAGCTGTACCAGCCTGACGTGGCACGGGAACTGAACCGCTGCCGCCGGGCTGCAGGGCGCAGGGCCTCCCAGCGCGGAGGCCTCACTGGGCACCCTGAGCCTCCCCAGAGGCGAGTGCTGATGTCTCTTAGGATCAGCCTTCTCAAAATAACGAGATTTTCTTCCTGACCTAGGCCCTGTGTGCACCCTTCTCTAATGGAACCATCCTGCCTCATCTCTGTTCCCTAGCACCTTTTCTTTCACACAGGAACAAGGTGAAAAAGCCCAAAGTCATTTTTCAGGATAAAGGAACTAGCCAATAAAGACCCACAGGTCTGCTGCTGTTGGGAAAGAAATCCAGCCTCCCAGCAATATCAAAAATGTATTTCAAGGGAGAAATGAGATTGTTCCCCTAGAAAAAAACAATTGTCATGAGCTGAGCTGGTACACTGCAGCTTCCTGAGGAGGTGGCTGAGAGGACCTACACACTGTGGGGCCTACAGGGCATCCACGGAGGCGGAACAGTGGGCAGGTGGCCCTCAAAACTGCTCCCACTCTTCCCTCCACCCGGCCCGCCCTCCCCAGGCTCCTGGGGCCTCTCCTGCCAGCACTGCACCACCACATGGCAAGCCTTCTCTAACTGGGAGTGAGCCCCCAGGAGCCCCAAGGGAAGGGGCACTGTAATGCTCTGTGCCTGCTACCAAGGGGGGCCTGGATGGAAGTTTGTCATCTCAACACAATCCTTGCCCATGACAAGACCATTGGTGACAAAGAGAGGCTAAACATGCCATTTCTGTTTATTCAGGAGAACATTATGACAAATACACTTTAAATACTACAAATTTTTATATCCTGGAATGACCATTCTCTAACAAGACTGAAGAGTGGTTCACAAAAAGAAAATATATATATATATAGTCCCCCCAACTTTTCTTAAACCCTGGATGACCCAGGAAGACAGAACCAAGCTCTCAATGCAAGTTCTTCAACACAGTCAACAAACAGAGAACTGAGGCCAATCTGCCCAACGCCAGAGGAAAGAGCCTGGACGTGGAGGGCAATGCTGTGTGAAATCCCTTCCCGACGCTGGTGCTCAGCACCCACCATCACCTACGTGCCCTGTGGTGTCACTTCCTGAAGCGCTTGAAAAGCGGGTGCACGTGCCTTGTGGAAACCTTGCTCCGTGCCGAGTGGTACTCCATGTACACGGTGTCATCAGCCCCAGAGAGGGAGCTCATGGTGCCAGAGCGTCGAGATACCTGCGGGGCACCAGCCCATGTTAGTTTCCGAGGGCAGAGACTCTGACCACTTACTGTGTCTCAGGCATTGTTCTGAGCAGTCTAACTCATCTAATCCTCACAACCATTATAATCCCCATTTCACAGAAGCAGCAACAGGCACAGAGAGACTGAGTTAACTTGTCTTAAGATCACCACCCAGCTGCAGACTTCCTGTTCTTAAGCACAGTGCTACCCTGCGTCCCTTCATGACAATCATGAACAGAATGTGTTTAATAGTGAGGGCAGCAGTCCCTGACAATCTGCCGGCACCCCACCTAAGGAGAGCCAAGTGGGGAGCCGGAAGGCCTGGGCTTGAGTCCTGGCCCCACCTCTCGCTGGGTGACCCTGGGCAAACACCGACTGCCTGTGCCTTAACAAGCTCAGGGGTGACACAGCTGCTGTGACATACACGGGGTGAAGAGAAATCACCCACGTCAGGGTCTGACCCAGGGCCCGGAACCACTGGCCCCAGATGACAAGGGACATGTGTGGAGAGGGCCGAAGCCAGGCCTCCAGCAGCGCTGACGCCTGCTTCCCTGACTCCAGCCACGGCTGCCCTGGCTCTCCTGTCAATTTCAGCTCCCCTGGCACCTGACCAGTGTATTTCTCCCCTTGGACGAGCCTGAGAAAATCCCCATAATGACTTTCATTTATTACACCATATTGTATTTGCCTGGCACACAGTAGGGATTCAATAAGTATTTGCAGAATAAATTAAAAGTTGGGTATTTTCAGAGAACTCTAAATTTTTCAAAATTAGTATTGAAATTACAGTATGGGCCGACCCTCAGAGCATCGTGCACACTGGAAGGCTCGGCTCTATCAGTGAGCAGGACGGAGGAACTGACTTGCCCAACGTCAGGCACAGCAGCCCAGGCCCGTCCACACTGCCCCCTGCAGCCGCCCTGGGGAGGGCCCTGGGCACCTCTGCCATGATGGGGCTCCGACATCAAGACAGTGACAAATTCTTATGCCGGATTCTTCCGTGAACAGAGCAGGAGACCAATTACAGCCACCATGGGCTCAGCCATATACGACAATGTGTACGGAAGGAAAGATACATACCAAATGCTAACACTGTTCCCTATTATTTTCTATTGTTCTCTCCTCTACAATTTCCTGGGTTTTCCAAGTTTTTCAAAAACTCACACAGGCACATACACACAGGAGACTGCATGTGCATGTGTGTGCAAGAATTCTGTCCTTCAGAAGAGCTGCACCCACTCAACTCACCTGGCTGGATTTGGAGCCAAATTCCCCTGCCACCACCTCTTCCTCAGCATCCAGGTCTGTGGCTGCCAGGACTTTCTGTAGGAGCTGCTGTTGCTCTTCTTTCGTCGAAAATGCCAGCTCTTCCTCCTCCATGCCAGCAAGCTTTGTGATCACCTGCAGAGCCAAAGCCGGCAAGCCGTGTGCCCGCGTTTGTTTTCTCCCCAGGCCCTACTCGGCCCTCTCCCGGGTTCAGGTGCTCCGGTCACCTCCCTCCCCCAGACCCAGCTGAGCACGTGGCCAACGATGGAGAGTTCCTCTTGGCATCCAAGGACCAGCCTCAGGTGCTGCCTTTGTAACAGAGTTCAACTAACGGCTGCAAGGCAGGGGAGGGTATGGGAAGTCCAGGGAAATCTGCTCCCAAACCACAGCAGCAGATGACCAACAAGGATCCTGGTGATTCTAAAACGCCCATTCTGGTGGTTTTCCATCTTGCACCCAACCTGACCCAGGTAAAGGACGGGACCAAAGATGGAAAGGCACAGTCTGCTGCCCTATGACAATGGTCTTCAACCTCTTGGCACCAGGCTCCCAGGACGGAGCACTTACAAATGACAGGACGTCAAGATGCATTTACAGGATTTTTTCTAACATAGCAAGCAAACAGCCAGGTGGTGATTTCTTTCTCACCTCTTTGGGGACAACTTACTCCAAGGCTTACCTCTCCTTGCAGAGAGCCGGCAGGGCGACTGTGTAAAGAGAACTCTTTGTCTCCCTCCCTAATTCTTCTTGTAATTTTAATTAAAAGAAAATTCCTAGAAGTAAGGATTTGGTCGAGCCTTTGAGGTGGCCACAGATACAAAGTACAGATAATGGGGCACTGCTGCCCTGGCCTGACCACCCCTCCTGGAACTCTGGGGCCATGATTCCAGGAACCCTAACCTGGCTGCTCTCAGCGGGCAGCAACGAAGACAAGGAAGACGAAGGCAGGTCCAGACAACACGGACAGGCATGCGCTCGGGAGCCTGTACGTGGCGCTCACCTTTCACAGGGCTCAGAGCTCCTCCGCACCCTGTACCTGCCTTGACCCCACAAGTCAGGAGGCAGGAAGACTGTCCTCATCACATCCTTTTACAGGTGGATAAAAAGATCACCATGCAGATCCTCTGGAAAACTGTCAGGTGTCCTGTTCTCTAGCCCAGTGTGAGAAGTCCAAGAAGTGTCACTGCCCCTGGCTAACAGGGGGGTCAAGCAACCCCATCCTCTTGTCTGTGGCTATAACAGGAATGCTCACCCGTTTGTAATGACACAAGCAGAAGCACCTGGAAAGGCAGCCGGCAGACTCCCACAAACGAAGGACCCGGGAACCTGTACATTCTAGTGACATCCTGCTTCCAGCACCCTCCACCCACCCCACAAACACAAACCGACTTACTGTGTGCATTAACAGGAAAGAAAGCAGACGTCTCAGCCAACGGAAGTCAGCCAGAGTTTTGAGAGTCCCCAGGCTGTTCACACCCGATCAGTGGGGCACGGAGGGCTCTGATGCCCATGAGGCCTGCCGAGGTCCAGGCTCACCAGCTGACTAAAGACAAGGCCTCCCAGCCTCCTGGAGGGGCACCTCAAGAGACCCATGCCTACAAGTCAGGGGTCTGAACAACTTGGGAAATTTTAGCTCTGGCAACCATCAGTTCTGGTGAAAGTGACCCGAAGGGCTCAGACTATGATGGGCCAAAGCACCTTGGCGCCTCAAGCCCTGCCAGGCTGGCACACTTTCTCCCTAACCAACCATGAATGTTCTTTCTACAAGACAACTGTAACAAGCTAACACGCAGAAACCCTGTGCCTCTTGCTTCACAGGCCCCATTCTTTGACCATTTGCTGTTGGGGAACTGGGGGCAGGAGGGGATCCTGAACAGTGTTTTCCCTGAACACTCCCAAGCCACAAGGAGACAAAGCGAGTCTGAAGCAGGGCCTCCAGTGCCCTAAGGTTCTGTGCCTGCCTGAGCTTTGTCCCCTACCGGGAGTCAATGGTGGCCTCCACTTCTCCTCGGGGCTTGGGTGCAGAAAAAGCCTTGGTTCTACTCTGAGCAGAGACCAAATACATACCTTGAAGCTGTAACCCTGATCCACCAGGAACCTCTGCCGCTTGGTTGAATAAGCCATCTCCTGGGTGTCCTGGGACACCAGTGAGTAGAAGAAGGCATTGTACTCCTCTGCAGCCATCCCTTAGGAGAGCAGGAAAGAAGGCAGTGTCAGCTGTCAGGGCGCCAGGAGCCAAGGGCCCAGAGCCCCAAAACAAGTGCGAAGCGGCAGAACTTTGCAGCCAGGCAGGTGACTGTCCTGACTTTGCTCGGGAACTTTACCAAAATTACAAACTTTTATACTTCAAAGGACACCATCAAGAAAGTGAAAAGACAACCCACAGAATGGGAGACAATATTTACAAAGCAATTCCTGATAAGGAATTTTTATCTAGAATATAGGAAGAACTATTACAACTCATTAATTAAAAGACAAACAACCCACTACTTATAAAACAGGCAAAGGATCTGAACAGACATTTCTCCAAAGAAGGTAAGCAAACGGCCAACGAACCCATGAAAGGACAATGCAAATCAGCCCAACAGGACACCACATGATAGCCACTAGGATGGCTAGAATCAAAAAGGTAATTGCAGCTGCTGTCAGGGAATGCGGAGAAGCTGGAACCTCATACATTATTGGTGAGAATAAAATGGTGCAGCTGTTTTGAAAAACAGTCTGGCAGTTTATTAAGATGTTAAACATGACCTGGACGTTTAATTCCACGCCTGTATATATTCCCAAGAGAACTGAAGATGTGTCCACACAAAATTTGCACATGAATTTCACAGCAGCACTAGTCCTAAGAACCAAAAAGTGGAAAAACCCAACGTCCATCAACAGATGAATGGATAAATGAAATGTGGCATGTCCAAACAGTGGAATGTTATTCAGCAATAAAGAGAATGTGGTACTAGGTACAAGCTAATAATCATCTGTGGATAACTCTTTTGAAATCATGCTAAGTGAGAGAAGGCAGTTCGGAAGGTCCAAACCGTATTACTCCATTTATCCGCAATGTCCCGAATGGGCACATGCATAGGAAAGAAAACAGATGAGCTGTTTACTTGTGGCTGGGGACAGGAGGCAAGGGGAAGCAAGGAGTTACTGCTAATGGTGAAGGACATCTTTTCTGGAGCAATGACAATAGGTCAAACATAGACTGCGGTGATGGCTACACACTTTGAGATGACACTAAAAATCACAGAACTGTACACTTTAAATGGATCAATTGTATGGTATGTGAATTACATCTCAAAAATGTTGCTAAAAAAAAAGCGCAGAGAGAAAACCTAGAAAAAGAGATTTATCACAGAAACTAGGACAGAAAATACTGCAGCCTGGATAATCTGAATATTTTTGCCTCACAGTTCAAATAGGAGTAGGTTAAGTGTATGTGTACTGCCTCTGAATTCAATTGTTTCCTACTCTTTCAAGAGCTCACAGATGCAAAGAAAATAGTCAAACATCCCAAACAGTATTTTTTTTTAATGAAGTTCAAAGGGGGTTTTCAAATTAGATTTGTTTCTTTTTTGTGTGGTGAAAAGTAAGGACTAAGTAATGAATTAACTTTCACATGCTAGTCAGATCATACTGTCAGTTTATAAAAGCTACAATTTATCCAGCAGCCTGCTCTATTCTGCTGCATAAGTCTTATTCTTCACAATGTTCCTACAAGACAGGACAGCTACTCCCACTCTGGACAGGAAACTGGGCTCAGAAGGGCAAATCACTTGCCCACGGTCATTAAGACTGGTTTGGGGGCCAAGTTCATGCTATTGCTACTAACATGCCGTTTCCATTCTAAATACAACCGATTTGCTGTCTCTTAAACATACAGACACACCTTGTTTTACTGCCCTTTGCAGATACTGCATTTTTACAAACTGAAGGTCTATGGCAGCTCTGTGTTGAACACATCTGTCAGCATGATTTTCCAACATCATTTTGCTCACCTTGAGTCTCTGTGTCACATTTTAGTAATTCTTGCAGTATTTCAAACGTGTTCATTATTATTATATTTGTTATGGTGATGCTATCTTTGATGTATTTTATTTATAAACTTCAATATATTTCAGTAAAACTGACAGGCTGGCCCCAGGGTGCCCTATCCACTTAGCCTGTGTGCCCTCCTCCCCCTGTCCATTCCACTACGGGAGGTTCTCTGGGAAGCCAAAACCTCTTCTACAGGTTACTTTGCCCTTTTCCCAGGAACAGTCCAGTTTCTGGGACAGGATTTCAAGCAGGCAGGAGACTGGCTAGAAGGGCTGGGCCCTGTCTCAGCAAAGTGAGGGCCGCCGCAGGGAGGAGAGAGCTTCTGAGGACCTGCAGGCTGCAGTCAGGGGGAAGGGGCACAGGCTCTTGTTGGCAAGGGTTTCCCAGTGCGAAGAATGGCCGCCATCTGGATCTATGAAAGCCGCCATCTCAGAGGCGAGGGAGGAGAATCTTGGCTCTCCTTCCAACCTCTCTTGGTAAGTGAGATGTAAAATCAACTGCTCGCTCCGCATCCATCCCACAGGACGCAGGCGCCTGCCTGGGTGTCTGCACAAGGGCTTCAGGGTGTCCTGCACGCCACCCAGCCCCTGCTCCGTGGCCTTCCTCTGCACCTCCTCTCTTGGCAAGGTCCCCTTTGTCTTCTCCTGTCACACTGGCAGGCCTGGAACTGCTCTTTGGTTTCCTGGCAAGCTGTCTGCTCCCCTGTAGCGTTTGCTGACTGGGCCAGCTCCCTCCGGGACCCCCGCAGATCCCCTTCCCTCCAGCCCAGCTGCATCACCTTCAGGCAGAGCTGCTGCCTCTGGCTTCCAGAATGCTGCTCGCCTGCCGGAGCTGCTGACACGTATAGACAGCACACCACCCGAGGGCAGGCTGCTGAGGATCAGGCCGAAGAGGGAGCGCACACAGGTAACTGTGACTGCACTCTAACTGTTTTGGGGTGCCACAGATCACACCCATATACAGTGGAGAAATTAACCAGTAAGTGTTGTGCTGTTGTGTACTCATACTGCTCCACCAATTGGCCAATCCCCCATCCTCAAGGTCTCCCTATTCGGAGACACAGCAATGCTGAAATTAGGCCAGTTAATAACCTACAACTTCTAAGTGTTCTAGTGACAGGAAGAGTCAATCAGTGAGGCAAACTTCATTAGTTATTATTTTAACCAATGGCCACAGCCACCCCAACATTCAGCAACCACCACCCTGATGCGTCAGCAGCCACCAGCAAAAAGATAATGGCACATTTTTTAGTTAGGGTCTGTACATTGTGTTTTTAGATACCATGTCATTGCATACCTAACAGACTACAGTATAGTTCAACTTTTATGTGCACTGGGAAACCAAAACATTGCTCTGACTCGCTTTATCACTGGGACCTGGAACTGAAGCTGCCAATCTCTGAGATCTACCTGGATTCAAATACAGTGCAGTTCCCATTCGTGCCCACAGCCTCGTCATCGTCAAACAGCCAGGTATCTCCGAAGGTAAGTGAGTTCTGTGAGGACACAGCTTGTGTCCTTGTCCTAGGCCCTGCCAGGCCCCAGGAGGGGAGACGTGGCCATTTCTTCATAGCAGTGTCAGTCCGTGCCAGGCCCGTGATCAGGTTCTGGGCCCCTTCCCAGCAGTTGGCCAGCAGCTGCAGGCTGCCCCCGGCTAACTCTCCTCAGAGGTCACGAGGGGTCCCTCCTGCAGCCACTGAGCTGTTCCTCCCAGGCCCGCCCCTCCTCCTGACTTGAGGCCAGGGGACAGCGTCCGGCTCCGACACTTCCCCTGGAGGCCCAGCTCTGCTGCCCCCCTGCAGCACTGCTTTCCTGGCTCCTCCTACTACCTGCCAACACGGCTGCTCAGCTCAGAGGATGTCCGTGTGAATCCCAGACAGCTGCCAAGGAAAAGAACCACGTATGAACCAGCAGGGCACAAGGAGCAAGACCCGGAGCGCTCAGTCCTGGCTCTGGGGCCCCTATGTTCAGTCCACTGAGCCCAAGGGCGCTCGCCCACCATCACTGACACTCAGGCACCTGAGCCCTACCCGCCTCCTAACCAGAGCAGTTCCAAAGGAAAGACATCCTGCAGCAGAAGGGGAAAGACCACCTTTACCTTTTTTGGCCCGGAGCACTCGCCCCAGCCTCTGAGCCTCCTGCCGCCGGGAGCCACCGTGAGAGGAGATCTGAATGAGAACATTTGCTTCCGGAAGATCAAAGGACGTGTCACCCACCTAGGCAAGTGAAACAGCTGTGAGTGTGGCAGGACTTTTACGTATGGGGCAAAAAGAGACAACAAAACCTGCTGGCCTCGGGTATAAATCAGCCCTGTGGACGACTTAGAGGAAAAATCACTATCTCCTTCCCTCTGTCCCAGGTCCTGCGGAGACAGGCAGGCCTCCAGGACCTGGTGTGGCCTCAGACAGCTGTCCTAAAGAAGTGGCAGGACCTGCAGTCACCATGTCTGTCTCAGCAGCATTCACGGTGCTGCTAGAGACCCCGTCCACAAGACAAGAGGGCCCTGTCAACAGGGACTCTGAGTGAGTCTTCATAGTTTTTGCTGCAGAAATGCCGCTGCACAAAACCATCCATGGTCTTACCTGGTGGGGGCCAGTGCCCACACTGGGCTAGGTTCTGGCTCACCGGCGCTACCCCAGCCCGGGTTTCCAACCATCAAAGTTTCCAGCCAGACATCAAAGTTGCTGCCTAGCTGTGACCACTTTCTAGGTAAATCTCACTTCTTTTGGGTTTGGGGTCTGCTCTGATCTAAGTAACTGCTCTACATGTTAGACGACAGTGTCAAACTGCAGATTAAAACCATCTCCAGGCCGGGCCTGCGTGAGTCTGCGATGTGCTTAGCACCAAGCACATCAGGAGCCAGGACAAAGGCTGCCTGCGACCCCCCAGGACTCTCCAGCTCTACAAAAGGACTTCACGCAATGCTTACTTTTGCCAGAATAGGTAAGAACTTTTACCCCTTGTATAAACAAAATACAATTTAAAATTCCTGCATCCCAAAAAGTGGGAAAAACATTAGCCAAGCAAAGAGACTTTACAGATTATTCATAATACATTAAAAACCTAAATCCGCTTCTTCCACTGCTCAATAGGCAACATTCCTCTGCCCCCAGACACTGGAAACAGCGGAATGAAAGCTGACACGTGACACTCCCTCCACAAACATGAATAATCTACCCTGAAATCTGCCCTGGGGTTGCCAGGGCTCACCACTAGCCTGCATGCCACACAGACCTTCGATATGAAGATGGTGTTGATTTTGGGGTTGTGCTTGAAGTTCTGGAGAATCTGCATCCTTTCTCCCTGGGATGTAGGGCCATAGATATAGGGCCTAAAGAAGAAAGAAGCTGTGTTAGGAAGACCACAGACTCACTCAATTATCCTGCAAGCTCGTCAGAGGGCAAGGGCATTCCGCAAAGTTTCTCTCTCCTAGGACGCCCGGTCATGCAACTATCAGGAGACCCATACAACGGGGGGCTACAGACTGCCCCCCTCACCCCTTCCAAACATGCACACCTACCCCCCGTCACCACCAAGCCAAGGTTTTGGTCACCGCCTGTCCAGGAGCCCCTCCTTCACTCCTTCTGTTGTCTCTGGATGCGCTTTTCCCTGCTTCAACCTCTCTTGCTCTAAGCTTCGTGTCCATCCAAGGAGATTCCCTGGACCTCATGAAGCCCACTGTGGGTAAGAAACCCTGCGGTCTGCCAACAGGAGACTGGAGGCAACTGTCTCCTAATGACACAGGCATTCTCTCAGGAAGGAGCAGAAAGAACCGAAGGAGCACCAGCCCCTTCCAGCCCTGTTCCCACTGACCTCCCAAAACACTAACGTCCAAACCCTTTAACTTCCAGCTCTGCCCAAGGGCACAGCCCTATCTGACGTTTTCACTGGTTATCATCTCTGGGCAACTGGCAATGCCATTCCTCTGCCTTCCTCTGAATGGTCTGGTGAACAGTCTGCACACTTCCCAAGGGTCAGTAACAACAGTGACAAGGCCAGTTACCAGGTGCAAAGGGCCCACCAGCACCAAGCACGAGGCTGGATACTACGTTCTGTCCCTACCGTACCAGGAAAGGTAGTTTCATGTTTAGTTTACTCACAGGGCCCTGAGGGTCAAGCGCCTGAGGGAGCTAAGCCCAGGCGTGGCTGTCCCACTGCCTGTGGGGGCAACACCTCGGACAGCTCAGGATACACTCTCTGCCTTGGCCACCCCGCACAGCACTTCCCAACGCTACTCTGTGAGCTGGTTATGCGTGGGCCCGACAGCAAGTCCCCTGCCTGTAGGCAAGCCGGGCAGGGCCCAGGGCAGCTGGATGCCCCAGGTTGGTGGCGTCTGGTCACCACAACCACCAGCTACCCTGCCTGTTACAAGGTGCTCAGGGCACCATACAAATCTTTTCATCTTCCATGTGTGTCGTGCTGTGAAAAAGGCCAGGAAGCTCCACTTTGCAGGGTAGCCTCTCTCTCAATACCCAGGTTTTTAGGAGACTCTTGCCCCTCCCCCAGCATCAGGAAAAACTACTCACACAGCAGCATCCTCAGTTTCTGAAGGTTTCCCCCACACAGGAAATGAAACAGCTGTAACCACCCTCCAGAAAGAGAACCTAACATTTGCTGAACTCTGACTAGATGCCAGGCCCAAGAATGCCCTGAGAACAGTGTGTTTTGAATGTAGGTGTGGGGGAGACCACCTGAGAGGGGAAGAATGTGAGTGGAGTTCTGGAACAGGACGGGGGCGAACAGGGAGGCAAGGGGGCCACTGCATACAATATGGTCAACGTATGCCTCGCCTCACTGTCCCCTCAACTCCCCATGAACGTGACAGCAAGGGATTCAAAGGACACACCCACAAGGGCAAAGAGAACAAAAGTACCAGCAGGTGGAGAAGTGAGTGCCGCTGCGGACGTCCAACAGCAGAGGGTGCGGGCACGGTAAGGAGCCAGCAGGCCGGGGAAAGGAGCAGCCCACTTGGGTGGGAACGAAGCAGATACAAAGCAAGCCCGTGTTCTCTGCAGAACAGACGGGCTCAGGAACTAGCCACTGTCGCCTCAGAGGGTGGATGGTGGGGCAGGGCTGCAAAGACTGCCAACCTGCATGAGCAGCAGTGTCAGACCCCAACCCCAGCGAGCAGCAGTGTCAGACCCCAACCCCAGCCGCCAGACATGCCTCCCACTTGGCAAAAAGCGGGGGCTTACATGCTAGACTCTAAGTAAGGCAGGTCTGCACTCAGAACCTCAGGCGGGGATGAAGACCAAGGTGAGACTGACAGTGAGGGACGAAGGGGATCCCCTTCCCCCTCCCATCCTACATGCTGGTTGGTAGCAGGAGATCAGAAGATTCTTTCTGGAGAAACTGACTAGCCCAACGGAAAAGACCTATACATAGTGGCATCTGGCAATCTCTTGACAAAATAGTACAGCCCCCGCCTGATGGTGACGCCAGGACAGCACACCTGCTAAGCTACACAGAAAAGCCAATCAGCTTCTTAATGGCTGACTCTAAACATGAAAATATAGCCAAAGATTACCCAAACACAGAAGGGTTCTAGTGACAGATGCGAAATAATCCAAACAAAAACACTTTAAGAGAAGCAGGGTAGGGACTAGAAGAAAGCTTCAGCAGCTTTAATACCCTCAGAGAATCACAGTCCCACACCAGACAGCTGGCAAAGGAGCACTCTGGGAAATAGCACAAGCTGCACAGAAGGGGTAGAAGACAAAGGGAGAAAAGAATAGGGAAAAAAGATGAGAAAACTGGAGGAGCTGTTCAGAAGGTCTAACATCTGCCAGCAGAGATTCAAAAGAGAACAGAAAACTGAGATGCATAACAGAGAAAAAGCAGAAAGGAATCTCAGAACTGAAGGACATAGTTTCCAGATGGAAAGGGCCTACTACGTGCCCATCACAGTGAAAGAAAGACCACACTGAACATCATGCTTGGAAATTTCCAGACAGAAAAAAGATCCTAAAAACTTTCAAGAGAAGGAAGATACACGACCACCACAATAGATCATGTATAGGGAGGAATGAGAAGGTCAACAGACTGAGAAGCCGCCCTGGAAGCCCTGAGAAAAGAGCTCTGCCTTGAACATGCCAGGCCCAGCCAAAACCTGATCGAGCGTGACAGGGAATAAGAACATTTGCAAGCGACGTCTTAAATTTTTCATCCTACATCCCTTCTCTCTGGAATCTAGTGGAGGATATGCTCCATCAGAATGGGTGACCAAGAAAGGAAATGAGATACGGAAACAGGGGCTCCAACACAGGGAAGAGGCTCAGGGGACTCAAAGGATTATGTTGGAGGGAAGCCTAAGATGACGGCTGGGCAGCATCTCTAGTCCAGGGACAAGCAGGCCAGAGCAGAGCAAGAGGCTGAAGGGCTGGCAGGGACCCCACCAGGGCAAGACGGAAAAGAGAAACTGGGGGATTACATGACAGGTCTGACCTACTGAGAGGGAGTTCATGGCTGCATGAAGAGTCTGGAGAAAAGTAATTCTTATGTACATAGAAAACCAAGCAAAAGCAAAGACAAGGCAGTTTTAACTCCAGGAAAAACAAATGTTTACAGAAAGAAAATGCAACCATAGTACACTGTACGGCTTCACTTAAACAATACACAGTCAAAATACTGTAACACTGGATACTAATTTAACCCCAAACACGTTGGGATGAAGCAGGGGAGTGGCACATGAAAGAGAGCTAAATCCTCAACTTCCATAGTAGGAAATGAATAGCAATTGATAATTAAGAATTGATAATTAAGAAATTGCTAAAGAAGTTATTATTTACATATGTGAAGGCAAAGAGAGTTGTAAGTGGCTGCCTTTGGGAAACAGGAATTATGGATGAGAAGACAGGTCCAAGAAATTGCTTTTTTTCATAATAATATATATATTACTTTGGTGAAAAAAATGAAACCTTTTTTAAATCAAAAGAAGGTACAATTTTGGAAGTTTGAGGAACTCACTCTTCGTGTGTCTCAGCACTCTCACCGGTAACACGGGAACGGTCCTCACACGGCTGGGGCAAGGATTAAAGCATAGCTTGCTGGAGAAGCCCTCCACACCCCCTACCCCCACAGAAACACAAGGCCTGTCTCCACAGAGGTTTGCCTTCTGCTGTCCTCGTAGCATCTGAGCCCTGTGTCACTGTGGAGGGAAGCCCAGGCCCCTTCCTCCTGACTGGTCAGGGAATTTACAATCGCCAGGGCTTGAACACAGGTGTCAGGGCGGGGCCGTGGGCCTGTGAGGGTGCTGCTGGGTACTCCTGAGAAGCTCGTTCTAGATGCCAGGCCCTGTATGAGGTGCTGGTCGCATCAACCTTCCTTCCTGGCCCTTGGCCCAGAGGCTGACCTCGTCTCCACCCAGAGTGCTCACTCAGCCTAAAACACCAGATGCCAACTCATGCCCACCGCTGCAGCCCAGCTAGTCAATGGTGCCCCACCAGAGCAGCACACTCTGCCCCCTGCTCCCTGGGCTCTAACCTCCGACTGTGATCACTTGGTGCTCCTCTTGCCTGCTTCCTGGGACTGAGGCCACAGCCCCAGGCCTTGAAGCCCTATGCAAGTCCCAGAGGGCTTCCCGAAGGGACAGAGGCACCACTACGCCTTCACCTGGGGGGTACGCTGCCAGGAGGCAACCGCTCTTCTCAGTGCTTACTTGTTCAGCCGGATGGCATACTCCTTCAGGGCGAACACGTTGTCAGCAAAGACAATAATCTTGTCATTCCTTCTTTCATGAAACTTGATCAGAAACTGGCAAGCCCTGAATTTGTTGGGGTTCATGGTGTACAGCAAGATTCGTTTCTTGGTTTTAATGGCCACATACTCCCGGTAAAACTCAGGAGACATTGGGCACCAAACCTGTGACATGGTAAGAATCAAGGGTCAGTTTGCAAGTTTAAACATCACATGACTGGAAACTTTGGAAGACCATTCATTTAGCAGAAAGAGCTTTAAACAAACAAAAACAAAACTTATTACCTAATGCTGACTCAGAACACTATTATGTGTTAGTCACTTAACATAAATATTTCTAAATGCAGCAATACCCAGGGAACTATTTTCACACCAGCCCTGAGCGAGGGAAGCCAACCCCTCCCATTTAGATGGAACCTCCCACACAAGCCCACCCGGCCTGCTACAGACAGCCGCACACGCATCTCCCAGCTCCGCCTGTGGGGTCAGCCTAGCAATGACATCAGAGTAGTGACAAATACAGCTACCCCCCAGATCTTGGCTTTTTAAATTCCACTAACTACTCAAAGGGCTCCTTGGAGAAATGGCTGATTCTGGAGCCAGTGTAGGGAAAGCACCAAATGAGCCTCAAATATCTTGCTTTGCCAGAGAGCAAGAAAGATGGCACACGGCAAATGGAGGCAGGAGCCAGCTGGAAGGTGGCCCCGCTGGTCTGTCTGAGATGACCTGAGCATCCACGTAAGAATGACGGTGACACCCTGAGGGTCTCCCTTATGCTGGGCCCTGTGCCTGGGCTGCTGACCACCTAAAGGAAGGTCGCACAAACACGATGAAGTGCCATGGATTTTACAGGTGTCAAGGCTGTGTACACACCAAACACCCAGAACACTGAAGCTCTGCACCGACCAGACCACGGAGCCTACACTGACAGGCGCGGAGTGCTCGGCTGTGCCCAGCGCCACATCTGTGCGATCCCAGCCCCGGTCTTCATGCTCCCACCGCTGCGGAATTAGTTGCCATGACGATATGCCAAACACCGGCTGAGCTCAAATGCATAGATCTTACTGCTGTTACACTTTCTGGTTCCCTCTGGGCCACATCCTAGTATGACCCCATCATAGTCTCTCATTCTTTATGGCCAAAACAATTCTTTTTACATAGTGAGATCTTTAAAATTCTGCACTTCACAGAATGTGTGAATGGCCCATATATATGAAAAGATGCCGAATATAATTAGTAAACAGAAAAACACAAATTAAGACCATAAAGGAATACCATTTCCCACCTGTCAAGTTAGCAAAAACTAAAGGGAAAAAAATTCAGTATTAGGTATTGGTGATGTGCAACAACCTCACTCACCCCTGATGGGGGTGTTAATTGGTTCAGCCACTTTGGAAAACAGTTTTCTGTGACATGACCAGTGAAGTGACCATCCACATAGCAGGCTACCCAGCAACGCCACCTCTAAGGGTATCTGCCAGAGCAGTGGCCTTCAAACGTGGCACGAACTAAACATTCACACGCACAAACATAGTTTTGTGAAACAATACATTCCCTTAATGCATAATGTACTCCCTCGAAGATCCTATTCTATCCTGGTCAGGACCCAGCGAAGTGATGTCACCATCTGCTATGGGATCACATGCCACAGTGCGAACCCCACATTAGAAAAACTCTGACACAAGGGCCCCAGGAAACAGTTGTAAAAATATCCACAGCAACACTGTTATAACAGCAAAGAACTAAGTTCCAAATTTCCACAGACAGAAAATAAATCAGTGGCTGCGAAGGGCTGGAAGTAGAAGGGATTCATGGCGAATGGGCAAGAAGGAAAATTCCAGACGGTGGAAATGTTCTGAAACTGGATGGTGTGGATGGCCGCACACTCTAGATGTACTAAAACCACAGGATTTACAGATCATAGTATTTACTTACAACAGATCAATGTTATGAACAAAAACTATCCCTTGATAAAGCTGTTCAAAAATCTTAGCAATCCAAATGTCTGTCAACATTAGCAGACTATTTTTGCTGCATGTAATATCAAATTGTGGTGTATCTGCACAATAGAATACTACAGAGCAATTCAAAGGAATGAACTACAGCTAGATGCATCATGAAAAAAAATAAGGCATTCAGCAAGGAATAAAAATTTGGAACAAAAGACAGAAATCATACAAGAACATATATAACCTACTTACTTCTATTTAGGTGTAGGGAAACATGCACAGGAGGTAAAGTAATAAAGAGCAAGAGAATGACACACAGAAGTTCCAAGACAGTGTCACCCTGGCTGGAGGAGGGGAGACAGGCGGGCAACACCCTGTGCCAGGAAGTTGCTGAGTAAGGGTGAGGCAGTTTCTCAAAGACCAAGTCCACGAGCACAGGTCGGTCACACTCACCTTTACCCGGGAGGCCCCTTTCTGCCCTTCAGGACAGAGGCTGCCTGTACTAGCCACTGGGTGACAGTCCTTCTAAGGTGCCAGGAAATACTTCCGTTGGCCCTTCTAAGACCTAGCTGTGAACATGTATTCTAAACATATTCCTGTGCAGGCCTCCACTGAAGAACAGTACTGGGGAAATGTATTCTTAGGAATAAAATGATCAAGACCACAGGCGCCTTCTGGGGTGTCAAGAACCAAGAGGCCTTGACCCCAGGGTGGCCTGCATGGTGGCCTACACAGACCAACCCAGAATCCCCTAGGGGTGAGGGTGAGCAGGAATACCCTGAGTGGCTTACTCCCAAGGCGGAGGAGCATGGACCCTGCATCCGAGCCCTACGGGATTAGCACCCACCTTACCACCTACTGCTCTGTGCCCCGGAGCAGTGGTTTTGTTTTATACACGTGGGAAGTAGGTGGCTTCTGCCCACCTCATAGGGAACCACGGGGACTGGAGGAGGAGGCAGCATGTGCGCACAGGGCCTGACCTGTGCATCTGCCCACGAGGAACGGGCCTGACCCATGCGCCCTTAACCCCACAAGGAGCCCCCCCAGGAGGCTGGGCCGGGAGCAGCTACCTCAGCGCACTGGACCTTGGCGATGTAGCCACTGTTCTGCAGCTCCATCCAGTTGGCTTCATAGAGCTTGGGCCCAATCAGAAAATTTAAGTCGACGATTTTGTCATCTTCCCGGACGAGGGTTGCGGTCAAACCCAGCTTGCAGTGGGCCTGCACAATGGTGAGCACCCGTCGGAACATCTTGGCTGGGGAGACATTCACAGGCCACTTTGTTAAACGCTCGGGTACCACATGCAGCCCTGAGATTTAACCCTGGCCTGTGACACTACACGAGCCAACCCCCAGGTCTGTGGGTCACGGGAACCTGCTCTAGACAGTACCGACTAGAGGAGAGCACTTAGCCAGCACCCAGACCCGTTAGGGAAGTGCCAAGTCAGCAGACCCCAGCCAGGCCGTCAGGAGGAGCGTGCATGGCAGTCTGCACACGCTCCGCAACACCTAACACACCATGGAACCCAAGTTATGCAAGGAATTTGTTCACCCCGAAACTTGTGCCTGGGTTACCAGAAAGACAGCTGGGAAACCGGGGTATCAGAGGAACGAAAGGAGCCAGACCTGCACAGCTTCCCCCCATCTTCCCAGAAACTCAGGGAGTGATGCCACCCCAGGCACCCCACCTGCCCTGGGGACGCCCTGCTCCGGTGAGATTCACTGGGGCCAACCAGCAACTTCCTTTGCCTTCCTTTCTTTTGAGTGTTACGATTCTTTCTGATTTACCAAATTAAATTAAATAAACACATTAACAGGGCATAAGATTATTAACTTCAAAAGACCCAATTAATGGGTTTCCAAAGGCTCACCTTTTAAAAATTCTAATAATCTGAAGGAAAGTTAAAATGTCTAAATCATACTTAATCTCTACTACAACTAAAGGTGAAGGACACTTTCAATCAACGTTAACAACCTAAGGAAAGAGGCCACACTGCATAAGCCACAGCCGAAAATGTAACAGTGACGCATCAGAGGACTGTCTAACCCCGAGGAGATGCACAGGCCTCCGAGTTTCATATCCTGAAGCCTAACGCGGTTTGTGCACACGTGGGAAACACACGCCAGCATCAGGAGTATCTCCAAGGACTGTGCCAGCTCCAGAGGCGGGCAGCCAAGGACCGCAGACCAGGCTCCCCACGGCAGGACAGTGCAGCCGGGCAATGGAGAGACCAGCCTCACGTGGGCCCCGGGGCCCCAGCAAGCAAGAGAAGCATGAGACGGACCCTGCCTGGCCGCTCTGCAGCCAGAAACAAGCCCTCCAGCGGCGCCTGCCTGCAAACCAGTCCCATCCCCGGGGTCACGCTCTCCTATAGCCCGAGCACGGTCACTGGAGGAGAACTCACACACTAGGAAGTGCATGGCTCCATAAATTTTACACAGCTGCACAGCCCAGGAGCCACAGGGGTCACCGCACGGGTGTGGTCAGCACGCAGAAGTCTCTCCTCTGCCTCTCCTGTCAGTGCAGCACTTACCCGTCAGTCCTCAGAGAGGAGGTCTGCCTCCCTCCATTATCTGAACTTCAGAAAATGGGAATCACAGCACATGCTTTTTGTGTGTGGCTTGTCTCACGGACACTGTCATGACTGTCAATTGACATTTGTGGCTCTTTGACTGCCCCTCCCACTTTGTCTCCAGTGCCAAACACAGTGCTGGACACTCAGGAGGTTCTCAATAAATATTTGTTAAAATCATGAAACTGGAACAGTGCCTCACATGCCATGAGCACTTAATATGTGGCAGGACTATAACAGAGTTTCTTACAATGGCTGAACAGGGTTCCTTTAGGAGATCTGTAAGGAACACAGCGAGCTTTCTCCTCTGAGGTAAGCCTCCAAGGTTTACTATTGACCTACTCTAATGCAGTAAATGCTGGGCAGTCAGGAAGCTTGCTCCGATTTGCTAGAATTCCCCTATTCAACATCTGCTCTCTGGCCTGGTAAACACTGTCAGGCCATGGGGCTTACAAGGCCTGAACTCAAAATTCTTCAGAGCTGCTAAAGACAATCAGAGACAAACTGACCCAGTGAACCAGAGGAGAGAGATGGACAGACATGTAAGGTGAGCATGGACCATGTGGGTGTACCTCTGTATCCTCGTCACTAGGGATGACCGACCCCAAGCCTGGCTGCCACCCCCAGGGACCTGGGATCCAGGGCAGAGAGAACCATCAGCACATACTAACCACATACTCAGGCCGCAGGCCTCAGGCCTTCCAAAGCTCCAAACGCGGCCTCCAGGAGAACTGCTTCACAGCAATTCCAAACTCATTTGTAGGAAATGATTCTCCGGGCCATCAATTGCCAATCCGATCAGACCCGAAACCCACCTTCCCCTAAAATGTTTTTTCTTTTAGTTTTTAAATTATCACACAGTAAGACTGACCCTTTTCTGTGGGTACATGGGTGATCAACTCTATAAATTTAACACATGTAGATTCATGTAACCACCACCACCATCAGGATAGACCAATCCAATACCCTGGAAAACTCCTTCATGCTGCCCCTTTATAGATGCCCTCCCCACTCCCCACCTCTCCCCACCACAAATCTGTTCTCATCACTAGAGTCTTATTTTTCAAGCATGTCCTACCAAAGGCGTCGTTTGCTAGGTAACCTGCTGAGCACAGCTGATTTCGGGGGGCACCATACCTGAGACTCGACCAAGCAGCCACACGTGACAGCAGTGCGTTCCTCCTCACTGCTGAGCGTTTCCCGTGGGTGGAGGCCCCAGTCTGTACCCAGTCACCCGTGATGGGCATCTGGCTTGTTCCCAGGTTTGCAAGATTATGCCGAGAGTCCTATACACATTCCTGTGCAGGTTTCTGAGGGGGCCTTAGTTCTCATTTCTCTAGGGTAGGTGCCCAGAGCTAGGACTGGTACGGTCACTTCCTAATGAACTGCCAGGCCTTCCTGGAGTGGCTGCATGTCTGTGATCCCTCTGACAGCATACAACAGCTCCAGCTGGTCTGGGCTCTCATCAGAATTCGTCACTGTTCCTGGATTTTATTTTAGCCACAGGCATTAGCAGCATCTCTCACGGGCCAGTGATGCTGAGCGTCGTCTCACATGCTTCTTGGCATTTGTAGTCTCCAGCGAAACGTCTGCTTGGGTCTTTTGCCCGTCTGCTAACACTGTGCCCACTCCCTGAACGTCCAACAGGCAATCCAGGGATTGCAGCCTAACTCCTGACTGCCGTTCTCCAGGCCTCCACTTCTTGTTTCCCACCTCCATGGATGTCCACTCCACCCTTCCAACTGCTCGAACCAAAAACCTACAGGCACCCCTGACCTCCCTTTCTCTCAATCCCTCATCCAGCCCTTCACGGTACCCCTCATGACACACCCAGAACTAGGTCACCTTTATCCTGGCCAGTTCAAGCCTCTCGCTGGGGTCCGCAAACACCCTCCTAGCTGCTTCCGCCCCTGCTCCTTTAGTCCATTCCCAGCACAGCAGCCAGGGCAATATGTTCACAGTGCTAAGTCAGATCACATCGCCCTCGGCTCAAATCCCTCAAACGGCTCCCCACCCACTGGAGCACGAGCCAAAGACCTTACGGGTGACCTGGGAGGACCTACAGGATGCGCCTGCTGCTCTCTCCTGCCCACCCCTCCTTAACCTCAGCTTTGACTGCTCTTTCTACGCTCCCTGCTAGTGCAGGCGCACCTTGCTGTTGCGGACCACACCACATTCTCTCCCGCCTCCAGACTTGCACCCCATTCCTTCAACCTAAAAGACCCTGCTCCCCCCCGGGTTGGCAGCGCGTATCTCTAGGCGTCCTGAGACACCCAGAGGAGCCGGAAGAGCACTCATGACAGAGAAAAGCCAGATGCTAAGGCCGTTTCAACAATATTTTGAATAGTCTATATGAAAATGCCTCTGATTTCATTTCATTCAGAGTCATCTCTAATTAATACTTCTTTTTTAACCTCTAAATTTATTAAGGTTCCCTTTTTTTTATTAAAGTATCACTGATAAAACCACAATGAGATATCACCTCAGGACAGTTAGGATGGCCAACACAGAAAGGAACAGGAACAACAAAGACTGGAGAGGATGCGGAGGTACTGGTGAGCACCTCCTGCACGGCTGGTGGGAATGTAAACTAGTGCAACCACTGTGGAAAGCAGTATGGAGGTTCCTCAAAAAAATAAAAATAGAAATATCATTTGACCCAGGAATTCCACTCCTAGGAATTTACCCTAAGAATGCAGGATCCCAGATTCAAAAAGACACATGCACCCCTATGTTTATCGCAGCACTATTTACAATAGCAAGAAATGGAAGCAACCTAAGTGTCCATCAGTAGATGAATGGATAAGAAGAGGTGGTACATATACACAAGGAATATTATTCAGCCATAAGAAGAAAACAAACCCTACCCTTTGCAACAACATGGATGGAGCTAGAGGGTATTATGCTCAGTGAAATAAGCCAGGCAGAGAACGACAAGCACTAAATGATTTCACTCATCTGTGGAGCACAAGAACGAAGAAAAACTGAAAGAACAAAACAGCAGCAGAATCACAGAACCCAAGAATGGACTCTAACAGTTGCCAAAGGGAAAGGGACTGGGGAGGGTGGGTGGGAAGGGAGGGAGAAGGGGAATAAGGGGCATTACGATTAGCACACACAATGTAGGGGGAGCGCATGGGGCAGGCAGTATAACACAGAGAAGACAAGCAGTGACTCTATAGCATCTTACTACACAGATGGACAGTGACTGTAATGGAGTGTGTGGTGGGGACTTGATGATGGGGGGAATTTAGTACCACAATGTTGCTCATGTAATTGTATACTAATGATACCAAAATTTTTTTTTAAGTTTTGCTGATTCACAATCTTATGAAGGTTTCATATGAATAACACTGTGGTTTCAATATTCAGCCATATTATCAAGTCCCCACCCCTGCACCACGGTCACTGTCCATCAGTGTATTAAGATGCTTCAGTCATTACTTGTCTTCTCTGCGATGTACTGCCTTTCCCGTGAACTACCTATATTGGGAGTGCTAATTACAGTAGGGCTCCCTTTTGTTTTATCAAACAAGGTTTGCCTGGAATTCAGTTCAGCAGTCAAGGGAACACACTATCAATACATGTTACAACACAGATGAACGATGGTGCAAAAAGAGCCAGATGTAAGAAAATACGCATTATATGTTCCTGTTAGTAGATTTCTGAAAAAGGAAAGTCTATAGAGACAGAAAGCAATTCAGTGGTTGCCTGGGACTATGGCTGAAAACAATGACAGTAAAAGAGCACAAGGGAGGTGTTCTACAAGTGGATCGTGGTGACAGTTGCACAACTCCATAAATTCACTGAAAATCTTGAACTGTACACTTACAACGGGTGGTATACTGCAAACCTACAGGCTTATGGTATATAAGTTGCATAAATAAAAAAAAATTGTTAAGAAAAAGGACTGCCCACAGTACTTAGAGAAGTAGAGCTTCTGTAACATGCTAAGGATCAATACTGAAGTCTTCAAAGAACACAAACACTACTGCGCAAGGACTTGACAGCTCCGGGCCAGTGATTAAGGAGGCTGTACCCACCCAGTCCCCCCGACATACACACAAGCTTGTGACTTATTGAAAGCTTTCCCCAGCAAATCCCTCTGGCAGACAGATGTCTACAAACAGTCCCTCCCTCAGCCCAATACCTGAAGTCTGCCTCTGTCCACGCAGAGCGGGCAGCTCAGTTCTCAGCCTGCTTACCTGGTATGGTGTGTACTTCGTCCAAGATCATGAGGCCCCACTCCTGAGTCTTGAGCCACTCCATGACCCGCTCGGCCTCCCAGGACCTCCTGGTAGTGTGGCCCAGCATGGAGTAGGTACTAATGGCAATGGAGCAGCCTATGGGCTTATCCTTGGCGTCGGAGGTGAAGCGGCAGATCTGACTGTCGTCAATGGTGGACCACATCTTGAACTGGGCTTTCCACTGCTCCACAGACACAGCTGAGTTGCCCAGCACCAGACAGCGTTTTCTGACAGTGCACGCAGCTGTCACGCCAACCAGGGACTTCCCAGCACCTACGAGAAACCGAAGACAATCTTTTAAGACCAGGTTGAATGAAGGCAGGGACAGACAGAATAAGTCATCAGCACACCAATCTGGGTGAATTACTGTAACAACCCTCACAGCAGATATCTGAGGACTCACTGCTCCAGAGCCACCTGCTTCTTCATAAAAAGGAGACATGCCCACTTCACACACAAGCGTTGAGAATAGAGAGACAGTGCAGGCCCTAGGGTAGCACTTGCCATGCAGCTTGTCTAAATGCTGAAATCTCAAAACAAACCAGAGGTAAGAGGCACTCCTGTTATGCCATCTTAAAAATGGGAACACTAAAGCCAAGGGCTAACCTGCCCCAGGCCACGGGAAAGCGTGCTGCTGCGTACAGCATGCCTTGCACACACACAGCACAACAGAGGGGCTCGATAAAAGACAGCCGTCACAATCGCACAACACACCGCGCCAAGAACTGGGGAACACACTAAGCGTGTTCACTACGCCAGAGACAAAGGTGAAATTCCAGGAGCTTCTGAGTTTACTACCATCTACCATTTGAAAAGCAAGATAAAAATCAAGCTATTCCTTTAAACAGCAATTCTTCCTTCACTAGAGATGTGCGTGAAAATAACCCCTGGAACTTTAGGAAAAAAAGAACGATGGTGAAGGCACCCGCCGCCCCCCGAGGAGTCAGCCTCCTCACGCCTGTGGCCTCCAGCCATGAACCTAGGCCAGGACTGACCTGACTTAGGGCAAAGGGGAGCCGAGAGGGCTGCGGGGCCCTTTCTTGGGTGCACACACTGTAAAAAAGCCATCCAGGAAAAAGGAGCTTCAAAGCCTCCAAATACACACAACCTCACAAGGCAGACTGCAGAGAACGAGGCTGGCCCCGTATGTGCAATAGCACTGACCCCACTTCACAGCCTAAGCCCTCACCTACTCAATCTCCCTTCACTGCCCGCAATTCCATACACTGCTTTGTTTACCATGTCTCTACCAGCAAGAATGAGCCACAGGTCGGGAATGCTGTTCCACCCCTGTTCTATCCCCAAGAGCAGCTCAAATGTCTGTCAAATCATGAATCGGGGAGTCATGTGGCCTTGGCTGCCCGAGGCCAGGTGTAATTTAGAGGACGATGCACAGGAGAATGGGAGGCAGCTGACAGAGGCCTACAGAAGGGCGTGGCCACCCCTGCATCAGGCGCCCTCACCGCAAGGAAGCACGATGACCCCGGAGCGGGCACGCCCGTTCCCAAACATCTTCCGCAAGCTCTTCTCCTGGTAAGGCCTGAGGACGGCTGTGGGCTTCAGGTCGATGTTGATATCGGGGTTGACAGAGTCATTCCGGAAGTCGTACTCGGCCAGCAGAGGGTACTCCAGGCGGATGCAGCGCCGCTGCAGCTCCTCGATCATTTCCTGGGCAGCGAGTGTGAAGGGGTTTTATAAGCCTGTTGACTCCAAAGCTGACTACTGAGCGCACAGTCTACGAGGACTAACGTCAAAACCAGCAGTTTACCTAGACTTGAAATTTCAGATCTTGTAACATCTGGGTTAAACATGGAAAAGCAACCCAAACTAAGGTGGACAGAATGAAATCCAGTAAGCCTCCACAAATGCCCCGTGGCCGTTTCTCGCATCGCGTCAGAGACCTGTGAGCGCAGACCCGCCAGCCTGAGGCGCTAACTCCGTTAGGAAGAACAGTGCGATGCCCACAGACACCAGGGAGAAAGCCACTCAGGCACGGCGGGTGGGGGGGCGCTCCTCCTCCTCACACAGACTGGGGTCCATGTAGGGCTGCGCCAGCTTCTGACAGTTTGCATGAGGGGTGCATTCACACACCTGCTTCACTTCAAAAGACACTGTCTGCGTCTCCTCCTCTTCTTCCTCATCCTTGTCCATCTGCTCATAAAAGTCAAACAGGTCCGTGGGGATGTCAGATTTGCCCTGTGGATCCATCACCTGGGAAGTGGAGGGCCCACCAGTGCCTTCAGCAGTCTTCGCAATCTGGAAGAGAAAGACAGACCCGTGCTTGCGCGCACGCTCAACCCCGTTACCAAGAAAGAGCCCTCGCTGCGAGGGGACGTGGCACTTGTACGAAAACCGCAGGGCCACCAGGCTGCAAGTGCTGGCCTGGAAACACCTAAGAGGTGACACCCAGAGGCTCCCCCACCCAGGGTGGCCAGGAGCCCACATACGGCGGATTTGCTGGTGAAAGTCTCTGTGATGAGCTCAGTAGCCTCCCCGTCGGAGTTCCTCAGGCGACATTCCCGGATCACCGGATCCTGAAGAAGATGCTGGATGACATCGGGGTGGGAACTTTCAACGAAGTACCTACAAGATGGGAAGATGGCGGTGCCTCAGGACCGGTAATCCATTTCCAGAAGGTTCTGCTGTTCATTTAACTGGATGGTCTGGATATAGTGGCCCCATGCCTCTCCTCTCCCACAACTTGCTGCTAAGCCTGAGTTATGAGCACTGGTGGCGACACAGCCTGAGGGCCACAGGCAAAGGCCCGCTGCCAGGTCAGATAAGCAGAGTCTGAGCCCAGCCCCACTCCTGGACACAGCGCAGAGGCTAGTGAGCCAGTTTCTAGTTTTGGCCACTTCACTTCTCATTCTTCTTATCCCCTTATTTGGGGGAGCAGGTGCTACACAGAGCAGAGCACCCACATGTCAGCCCCAGCCTGCCCGTGTGCAGAAGGTGGAAGTGCCTTGGACAGCCTGGCAGAAGGCCTTACCTGTTGTGCTTCAGGACCAACTTGACTTTTCCATAGCTGACAGTGCACAGCTGCAAGGAGGGACGACAAACAGGCAAGATGAGCACGGCACGGCTGGCCCGGAGCACGCGCACTGGCGGCACGCCTCACTACCCGCCAGCCACGTGAAGACTTCGCTTTGCTTCAGGAAGAGCCTGCGTGCAACCCTAAGGGCTACAATCTGCCTGAACTGAGCTTTTCTATTAGCCTCTACTTTTTGAGAGCAAAACCTTCCTTTTGTCTGGCTGATTCTGGAGCACATCCCTTAATTTATAAAATGCTACTTAAAATCTTTCATTTATTTCCCCTCTCCCTTTCTTCTCCAACCCCACAGGCCCATCCCATTCCAGAGGCTCATTCCGCCACACCAATGTCACTACAGCTCCCAGCACACAGCTGGAACAGAGCATGCGTTCAGTAACTGTGCTGTGTAAATTAAATGCAAAGCCCTCTGGTCCCCTCACGAATGTTCCTACTGCCCCAACTAGAATGGAAGCTTCTTGATGGTAGAAAATACAGCTGATCCTCCCAGGTTCCCAAAAGTCTTTCAGATGGAATGCAGCAGAGGGTGTGTGGTGGCCATGCAAATTCACCACTCACATCTCGGGTTGCCGCCCTTCTGAGTCCCCCCACCATGCTGCACCAACGCCTACACTCCTGCAGGTGCTCTCAGCAGAGACCCAGCACAGCCAGGGTGCTGACGCAGGCTCATTCAGACAAGGCGCAGGTCCGTTCCTAGGCACCTTTCCACGGCACAAGAGAGAAGAGCTCTCTGCAGGGTTCCTGCCAACTTCTCTAAGACTGGATGCATTACTACACTGGCTGCCTATGGCTCCCTGCTTCTGCCATCCAGAGGCCACTGTCCACCTCTTCTGAAGGCAGTCACCTATCTCGCAGAACAATTCAGGCATGCATAAAGACTCTTCACAGGGAACACTATCCACTCCAGCATGTGAAGTGCTTTTTGGTTTTTCCTAATGGAAATTATTGACTATTGCTCTTCTGCAGATATTCAACTTCAGATGAAGTTTACCATCTATATTAGCCTCCCCAGGCTGCCACACGGAACACCACAGGCGGGGTGGTTTAACAACAGATATTTATTTCTAGAAGTCTGTGATCACAGTGCCAATGATTTGGTTTCTAGAGAAGGCTCTCTCCCCCGCTTGCAGATGGCTACCTTCTCATGGCGTGTCCACATCTCCCTTGTACATAGGCAGGGAGAGACTGAGTTGGTACAAGTCCTCTGGTGCACCTTCCTATGAGGACACTAATCCTATCAGATCAGGTGCCCACTCTTGTGCCTACTCCAAATACAACCACATCAGGGGCCAAGGCTTCAACCCTGGAATGCTGGAGAGGACACAGTTCAGTCCACAGCACTGGTCGCTTTGGGCTATATTCCCAAATACCCCAGCCAGAATGGGCCTGCATTAGTATGCCCACTGTGTTGGCACCCGCTGGCTAAGAGCAGGTCATGGGACATGAGGCTGCGACAGGACCACGGAGCTGGATCTGCAGATGTAGCAGCTGCGGTAACGTTTCCACGTCCCCACCGCACAGAAGGCATGGCCACGACTGCCACAGGCTAACAAAGCACCTGTCCCCGCTACTACGAGAGCAGAAGAGCCAGCCCAGCCACACTTGCCTTGATAAACTGAATAATTCCATCAGGGACTCCAGTCTTGCTGAGCTTCCTGAGGTACTCAGTGATGTCACTGGTCTGCAGCCCAACGCTGACGGCTGCATACAGGGAGTAGGCGGTTAGCTTGTACTCATGCACATGGGTTGGTCGGCACACTGGCTCTGCAATAGCCACCAGGAAGTCTTGAGCATATTTGTAAACTGGAGAGAAGGCTTCTAAGAAGATGTGGCCATCGGGAGCCTGGGAAACACAACAGAAAAGAAACTTGTGCCTTGTAGAGACTATTAGACTTATCATTATCTAGAAAGGATGAGCTGCCAAAGACGTGTTAAGCTGTCCAACACCCAGGACATTTTTGTAAGAACTCCAACGAACTGTGGAGCCTGTTGCTCTCATCAGATACAAGGAGTAGAGAGGGTACAGAAGAAGAGGCTTCCTAAGTCAGTGGCTGCTCCCCACTAGTCTGCGTACAGTGAGCCCTCTTACTGGCTATCCTCATGCCACCTTTTGGCGAGATTTCAAACGAATGTAAAACATAAATTACTTCAAGCTGAGCAAAAATACTGCGTAACAAATAAATAATTGTGCCATTAACTTTTTAAATTAAATGTCACGTGGTAAATGTATATAATAAATTAAAATGTTGCGTAATAAATGCCATTTATTCGGCAGATAAAAGTATCCCCAAACACAGCGGACACGAAGCGGGCAGGCAGCGGACACGAAGGGGCCCGAGTCTGGAGGGCACGGGTGTGCAGCCCCGGCCCCGCCAGCCGCGCGCGGCCCCTCCCGAGGGGGAGAAGCCCCCCGCGCCCGCGCCGGCTCTGGGGGGCAGTGTCCTGCACGCCCGCTGGCCCGCCTCGGCTGGCCGGCTGTACGCTTACCACCCACAGGGGCCTGGACGCGTGGTCGTCCTTCAGCGGCATCTGCAGCCTGTAGTCCTTCGCTCCATATTCGTCCACTTTGCTGCCGGGCTCATCCACCTGCTTCCCGGCGGCCGAGGGCACCGCTTCCTGGGAGTCGTTCCCAGGGGCGTCGTCCTCATCTTCCTGCTCGTCCTCGTAGTGCCGCTTCCGGGACTTCTTCCTGTCTGCAGAGACGGGCCCAGAGTGAGCCCGGCAGTCGTTCCCAGGGGCGTCGTCCTCATCTTCCTGCTCGTCCTCGTAGTGCCGCTTCCGGGACTTCTTCCTGTCTGCAGAGACGGGCCCAGAGTGAGCCCGGCAGGAGCCCGGCAGGAGCCCGGCTCCCTCCGCACCGCCCGGCGGCTCCGGGGGGCTTTCCCGGCGCCGCGCGCCCAGCCGAGAGCCGCCGGCCGCGGGCGTCCTCCCCGCGAAGCTCCCCACCCGGCCCGCTCGCGGCGCCGTCAGGGGCCGCCCGGCCCTGGGGTCCGGCGGGGCCGCGGGGTGCGCGCGCGCGCCACAGCTCACCGCGGTCGGCCCGGTCCCTCTTGCCCATGGCGCCGGCGGCGTCACTGCGGCCCACTAGCGCGGCCGCCGGAGGACTTCCGGCTCACGCCGGGCGCCCTTCCGGCAGCGTCGCCGGAAGTCCCGCCCCAGGGCGCCGGGGGCCGCTGGCGGAGCGAGCGCGGCGGCGGCGGCGGGGCCGCAGTGCGTGTGAGGCGCGCGGGTCGGGCTCCGGGACCCCCTTCTGGTCCGGCGGCGGGTGTTTGCGGGGCACCTGCTGTGATCGACCGGGCGCCGCTTTAGCCGCTGGGTAGGGCCGTGAACAAGGTCAAGGCCTTGGCCTCCTGGAAGTTAAATGTGGCAGAGATGCGGGCGGGAAACACACGTTAAGTGCTGTAAGGAGAAATGCGGCAGGACCCGGAGTGACGGGTGCCGCCGTTCTAAATAGGCTGGGGCCCTGGAGCGAAGATACTCGGGAAGTGAGGCGCTGTCCGCTATAGACACCAGGGGAGGAGCCCTGCCGGCCCACGTGGGAGGCCGGCGTCTGTGCGGTTTGCGTGGAAGAGGGCGCGGAGAGCGGGGGCGGCGGACGGGGCACGGCGCGGCAGGTGCAGAGCAGCGGTTCTCACGGGGGTTGCCCTGGCTGCGTCGCCATCAGATAGGAGCCTGTTAACACTCATTATAAAGGCACGAATTCAAAGCGTCCGGCCCCACCCAGACCAATGAATCATAAAGCTCAGGAGGTGGGACCAGCAATCTTGGGCTCCAGAAGATGTTGATGCCCAAGTTTGAGAATCACTGATGCAGGGCCTTGTAGGCCATTGCAAAAGCTTTGTATTTTATTACAAAATAAATTCCTAGAGTTTTGAGCAGAGAAATAACAATCTGATTTAATATTAACGGATCACTCTACCGTAGCTGCTATGTTGAAGGTAGACTTTTAAAGAGTCAAGGGCCGCTATTGCAGCACAACAGTTGAAAAATTGCTGGCTTGGGGTAAAAGTGAACAGGGTTTCCAGTCTGAATGTGATTTGAAGATTGAGCAGGGCTTGCTGGCTGGCCGAATATGGAAAATGAGAGAAAATTAAACGCTAACGCCCAACATTTTTGCCCTGTTCAAGTGCCAAAAGTTGCATGCCTTAGGGAAGGGGAGGTTTGAAGGGCGGTTTTGGACATCCTGAATGTGAGTGGTTGTATTAGTCTTCTCAAGTACCACAATAAAATACCATAGACTGTGTGACTTAATGTAAATTTATTTTCTCAGTTTTGGAGGCTGGTAGGTCCTGCTTGCTTCCTCTTGCAGATGGTCACCTTCTTGTCTTTTCTCTGTGCCCTCACATGGGGGTTGAGGGGATAGTCAGGCTCCCTGGTATATCTTGCTCTTCACATAAAGGTACCAGCCTTATGACCTCATTTAACCTTTATCACCTCAGTCTCTTATCTCCAAATACAGTGTGACATTGGTGGTCAGGGATTCAACATAAGAATTTGGGGAAGATGCAATTCAGCCCACAGCAGTGGCCAATTACACCATTAAGTGAAGTATCAAGAAGACAGCTGGATATAAGTTTGAAGTTCCGGGACCTAGAACTATGTTTGGTAATTGTCAACATGTCTATAATATTGAAGCTATAGAACTAATTGAGGTTACCTAAAGAATGAATGTAGGTAAAGAAAGGTCTGGAATTCTACAATACTAAAAAGGTTTATTCAACATGATCAAATAGGATTTTTTCCAGGGATGCAAGGATGGTTCAATATCTGCAAATCAAGTAACATGATATCAAATAACCACATCAAGAAAATGAAGGATAAAATCATGTGATCATCTCAACAGACAGAGCATTTGACAAAATTCAGTATCCATTCATGATAAAAATTCTCAACCCAAAAAGTGGGTATAGAGAGAATATGCATCAACATAATAAAGGCCACATGTGACAAACTCACAGTAACAAGGTAAAAAGCGGAAAACTTTTCCTCTAAAATCAGGAACAAGACAAGGATGCCCGCTCTCACCATTTTCATTCAACGCAGTACTGGAAGTTCTAGCCATAGCAATCAGGTGAGGGGTAAAAAACACACCCAAATAAATAAGGAAGAAGTAAAACTGTCACTGTGTAGATGACATAATACTATACATAGTAAGTCCTAGAGAATCCACCAAAAAACTGTTAGAACTAATAAATGAATTTGGTAAAGTTGCAGGATACAAAATTAATATACAGAAATCTGTTCTGATTCTATATATTAATAAAAAGCTAGCAGAAATAAATTAAAAAGCAATCCCATTTAAAATTTAATCATAAAGAATAAAATACCTAGAAATAAATTTAACCAAGGAGGTGAAAGACCTACACTCTGAAAACTGAGACATTGATGAAAGAAATTGAAGCTGACAAAAATAAAAGGAAAGATGCCATGATCGTGGAATAGGAAGAATTAATATTGTTAAAATGGCCATATTCTCAGAGCAATCTACAATTCAATGCAATCCATAACAAAATACCAATAGCATGGTTCACAGAACTAGAACAAATGGTAGAACAAACAAACTAAAATTTGTATGAAACTACAAAAGTCCCCAAAATAGGCAAAGCAGTCTTGAGAAAGAAGAATAAGCCTAGAGATATCACAATCCCACTCAAACTAAACTACAAAGCTATAATAATAAAAAGAGTATGGCATTGGCACAAAAATAAACAGATTAGTGGAACAGAACAGAGCCCAGAAATAAACCACACTTATATTGTCAACTAATCTATGATAACGGAGGCAAGAATACACAGTGGGAAAAAGACAATCTCTTCAATAAATGTTTAGTGTTCAGAAAACTAGACAGCTACATGCAAAAGAATGAAACAGTACCACTTTCTTATACCATATACAAAAATAAAATTCAAAGATGTAAATGTAAGACTTGAAACCTTAAAACTCCTGAGAGTAAATAGAAAAAGCTCCTTGATATTGATCTTGACAAGAAATAACAAGTGTTGGCAATGATGTGGAGAAAAGAGTCCTGGTGCACAGCTGGCGGGAATTTAAATTGGTGCGGCCACTGTGGAAAAATGTATTGATGTGCCCAAAAATATTAAAAGTAGAAATGACATTCAGTACAGCAATTCCACTTCGGTATTTATCCAGAAGAAACAAAAACACTAATTTGAAAAGATGTATGTACCCCCATGTGTATTTGTTTATTGCCTTATTATTTGCAATAGCCAAGATACGGAAGCAGCCTAAGTGTCCACCAACAGATGAATGGAAAAAGAAGATGTGGGGTATAGATATAAAATAGAATATTACCCAGCCATAAAAAAGAATGAAATCTTGCCATTTGCAATAACACAGATGGACCTAGAGGATATTATGCTAGTGAAAGAAGTCAGAGAATGACAGCTACCATATGATCTCACTTACATGTGAAGTCTAAAAAACAAAACAAATGAACAAACAAAACAGACGCAGATTTATAAATACAGAGAACAAACTGGTAATTGTGAGATGGGAGAGGGTGGGGGATGGTCAAAATAGGTGAAGGGGATTAAGTGGTTCAAACTTCTAGTTATAATTTAGTTATAAGTAAATAATCACAGGGATGTAAAGTTACAGCATACATAAAATAGTCACTAATATTGCGATAACATTTTATGGTGACAGATGGTAACTACTTATTACAATCATGCTGAGCATTTTGCAGTATATATAAATGTTAAATCACTATGTTGTATGCCAATAACTAATATAATACTTCATGTCAACTATATTTCAATGAAAAATAGATTAATTTAAAAAGGGAGTGGGGGGCTCAGAAGAGTTTGGCCAGAACAAAACACCTCCATGGTGGCCTGAAGGAAGCACATCTTGTATGGAATGAGATGAAACCGTGGAGTTGGGTTGAGCCAGTAAAAAAAGAAGAAAAAAAACAAGGTCTGGCAACATTTCACAGTGAAGTGGCTGAAAGACAAAGGAGAGTTGGGCAACACCAACTGAGGTGCAATTGGGCAACACCTGGAAGTACCGCTGCATGTCATCTCCAGGTGGAGGAAATGATCAAATGTGTGAGATGCTGCTGATCGCGCTCAACTGAAAACAGATTCAGCCACGGGATCTGCGGTGTGCAGGTCAGCTCTCACTGAATAGCCTTCAATGAATTGAAGGTGTGTCGGTTCAGGCCCTAAATGCCCCCTTACTCAAGAATTGGAGAAACCACACCTTCAAAACTTGCTTTCCCATATTTTCCTGCGGATTAACCTAGTGGCCCCACCCTCCCTGCAGGGCAGGCAGAGGACGGCCCCACCCACAACCCCAGCAGCAGCTCCTCCTCTCTGACCACAAAAGGCCAGCTGAGGCAAATGGCTGGGCCAGCCGCGGACTGAGATAGAGGGCTGCTGGCAGACAGACAGAAAGATGGCCCCACCCGCTGCCCGCCACCACCGGGCTCCACCACAAAGGAGACCCAGGCACTAGAGAGGAAAGAATCTCGAGCTCCTGGGCACCAGAGGGCACCTTCTTCACAAAGCCATTACTCTTTAGATCAGGAGGCAGAGAAGATCTACCTAATACAAAAGAAGAAACAGAGAATCTCTAACAAAAATGAGGGGCAGAGGAATATGTTCCAAAGAAAACTACAGGATAAGACACCAAAGAGGGCTAAATGAAACAGAGATCACCAATCTTCTTCATACAGATTTCAAAGTAACAGTCATAAATATGCTCACAGATCTGCGGAAAAGTACTGAAGATCTCAGGAAGAACTTCAATAAAGAGATACAAGAACTGAAAAAGAGCTGCTCAGAGCTGAAGAACATAGTAACTCATGGAGGGAATGGACGATAGATCACTGCAAGTAGAGGAGATAATCAATGAGATGGAAATTAGAGAACAGGAACATAACGAAACTGAGGAACAGAGAGTAAAAAGAATCTCTAGGAATGAAAGAAGGATAAGAGAGCTGTGTAACAACGCCAAGCAAAACAGTATTCTCATAATAGGGGTACCAGAAGGGGAAGAGGGAGACACAGGGGTAGAAAGTCTCTTTGAGGAAATAATTGTTGAAAACTTTCCTAATCTTGGGAAGGAAAAAGACACTCAGGTCGTGGAAATGCAGAGAGCCTAGAAAAAGA